TGAGATAACAATTTTGACTGTATTTGAATTTTTTTTGTTACAGGCAAAGTAAACTATGAGAGAATAGCTCGTGCTTGTATCAAATTGTATAGATCATGGGAGAAGACATATAAGATACATGTGATCACGTGTGGGATGTCTGTGAATGTTGTGGAGTGGCTAGCCTGTATATAGAGTTTGCGTCGGCAGTTGAAGCAATCCTTGTAAGTTGGTGATAATGCAGAGGCTGCTACAGACCCTGTAGGCTGTTGTGTATGAGTGGTATTTTTATCTTCCAGTTGCAGGGAATCTCCTATGAAAGGGATTTAGTATTTAGGAATATTCAATTTAAGGGAATTCAACATTGGTATTCAGTTGAGCAGAACCACCAGCAAAGGCATGGGATGCAATGTCCGGACATCAGGAGAATTAAGCAGATTCATTTTTGTAGAAATGAAGTCTGTGTTACTACTGCCTGCAGCTACAGTCATGTCAGCATGTTAATCGTAGACTTTGAAATGAAAAACAAAGGAATACAAACCACATCGACTGCATGCAATTACCATATCAGTGTCTACCACATTCCCCAGTTCGACAGATATACTTAAGAGTTAGCTTTAGGTCTAAAGCGAAGCATGATTTTGCCTGTTTTTTGGCATTAATTGATTCGCAACTAAAACAACATGAATTTTGAATACGACAGTTCTAGTTTAATTGTTCTTTGTAAATAAGGGAAAAAAATATATATATATCTATCTATCTATCTATGTATATATATACACTCTCTCTTTCTCTCTCTCTCTCTCTATATATATATATATATATATGCGCGCACACACAGACACACACATATGAAATGGTGTGTCATCTGGTTAGTATGGTAGGAAAAATAGTATAGGATTAGCATTTTGTTTTTACCGTAAAATGTAATGCAGGAATTGTTTGGCTAAAGGTTTAGGTTTAGGTCCAAAGGCAAGCAAAAGTTACAACATGCATGTATAGATAAGTAAAGGTTATGCATAGCAGAAAAACCATGAGTTAATAATTGTAACTCTTTAATTGTAAATCATACAGAAATTGAGTACATAACTGTAAAAAAAAAGGTGAACAAGACAGATATAAGCATAATAATACCTTGATCTCTTCATTTACCACTGGCATTTCCATTTGCATTTGCAGTTGAATGAACTGATGGAGGCGCAGGTGGTGACAATTGCTTTTGTTGAAGATGTGCATCGGCAGCAGAAGCTTTAGTATTCACTTCTACAATATCATCATCATTGGCTTCCAAATGTTGTAGCATTTTTTGGATCAGTGAGACATGCACATCATGATTTTTAGCGGCTTCTTTCTCTTAAAGTAATACTGTACTTTCAAACTGTTTGAAGTTTTCCAAATACATGTTTAGTTTTGCCTCAACTTCAGCTTCTTCCTTTTTTAGCTGCTGATTTTTCCTTTGTATATCGTTTAATCGATGGAGAATCGATTGAAGGATATGTAGAGGAAAAGTGAGGAGGAAAAAAAATGGAAAAGCTAAATTTGAGGCAAAACTGAAGTTATGCTTGGAAAAGTTAAAAGAGTTGGAAAGTAGAGTATCACTTTAGGAGGAAGAAGCTGCTAAAAATCGTGATGTCGATGTCTGAGTGATCCAAAAAATGGTAGAAGATTTGGAAGTGAAGGATGATCATGTCGTAGAAGTGAATAGTAAAGCTTGTGGTGCCGATGGAGATTTTGATTAAAAGGATTTTTGGTAAATGTGACTCAGTTTTTACAGATTCAAAATCTGTCTTAAGATTTTGAATTTTTGTCCACAGGTGTTTTTCGCAGATGCAATGAAGAACAAAAAAGAAGAAGAACAAAGACAAAAGAGAAAGAATAAAAAGAAATGACGATGTGGGGGTACCTGTCTTCATCAACAATTGTTCTGTTTTAAAGCTTAATGTTTAGATATAGATGAACTGAATGTAGTGTTCCTCCAATAGCAAAATCGTTCTTCAATTGCACGGTTACTTCTATGGTGAGCAGATTGTTGGAAGTATGAAAAAAACCCTACAGGAAAACACAATGCACCAAGGGCAAAACGAAGTTAGAACATAGATAAAATAAACTCATGAGAAAAATACATAAAACCCAGAGAAATGTATAGTTGTGAAATTAGTGAGGCCTTGAAATCATCAAATGTAAATAGAGGTGAAATTGACAATAAAGTAATATCAAGTATTAATTGTTACTTATCTTTAAATAAAGCAGCTAAACTAAAATGATCTGAAATTTAAGAATGTGTAGCATGAGGGTGGTTGGTTGTTACATTTGTTGTTTTTAAAAGTATCATGAGAATGCTTTTCGAATAATTTCGTCATAAACTACATTATATGTAGAATGATCATTTGTATCCTCTGCTGTAGGCGGGCGTATTAATATTTTTACGTTGTCTGAACATTTTGCTCGAGATAAAGCAACATAAAGTTGTCCATGTGAAAAAACTGGTTCGCGCAAATATATTCCAACAAAATCTAATGTTTGACCTTGAGCTTTGTTTATAGTCATAGCAAAACATAACCTTATTGGAAATTGTGTTCTTTTGAAGGGAACTGGTAGCTTTTCATCTTGTGATGCCAGTAATGATATCTTTGGAATAAAAACATGTTTATTTTTAAAATCACCACTGGAAATAGTAACACTGATAACATGTGACTTAAAATCATGACATATCAATCGTGTACCATTGCATAAACCTTCAGTAGGATTTAAGTTTCTTAATAATATAACTGGACAATTTTTTTTCAAAGTTAATCTATAAGGTGGTAAATTAGCAGGATGTAAGGTGTGCAAGAAATCTTCAAATTGACACTGATCATTTGGTTCTATTGTTTCATCAATAGCT